CCTTGTGATCTGCTCAATCTGTTTATCTCAGCATCTGTGTTTGGGGATGAAAATATGTGGGGAAACATGGATCACTTGCCTTCTGATAGTGTTGACTTAATAGCTTGTCTGGATGTCAGAAGTTTCATGGAATGGAGGTCTGTCGGCTGTTTGGGAGGCTTTGGGGTGTAAAAACCGTGTGAGCTGCCCTGTGTTTTGGGGATGAGTTTGGCTTTAAGATGAGAATTGGGAAACAGACAGAAGACATTTCACAGCAGTTAGGGACCAGGAGTAAGCTCCTGGTGGGAATTGTAGCTGCTGTACCATCCTGGTACTCACTTGCAGACGCAGGGGGAACGTGGCCAAGCTGGCCAGGCTGATTGCTGAAAGTCTGTGCTGGCTGAGAGATGCTTTCTAGCACATCTAGTGTAAAAATCTGAAGCATCTCTTGGTGAAGGCTGGAAAAGTCCATGGTTTGTCTCTTGTTAACCTTAAAATGCACCACGTGGAGGTTTCCTTTAGGGAAATGTGCTCTGAGTGGATATAGGTGATTCTGAGGGGTAGGAGCATGGTCTTGCCTGTGATTGACACGATGAGCTATCCATGCCCGTGCTCTTTTCCCTCTGGATCCGCATGGCTTGCTAAGTTCAGCAGCTCTCTTGGCATGGACTTCAGAGGAGGTGCTTTGGGTCATCTGAGGGCTTGGCTTCACTGCAAGAAATCCTCCTGTGTGCAGGTCAGGGAGAACTGCTCCTGCATTGACACACTTCAGCTCTGCTCTTGGGAAATCTGGGAGAAGGCAAGGCCCCACAGCTCTCTGTGCCCAGGGCTGTGTTGCTGCTGGCTTTGTCCACACACAAGTTAGGATGTCGTGTTTGCATTGTTCAGCTGTGCTGGGCTCCAATCCTTGGAAAAACAACTTGTTTCAGCTGGAAATGGATGGGTGTGCACAGCTCTGAGCTGAAACTTCAGCACAGTGCACTGGGCCAAGGAAATGGAAGAGGGGAAAAATACTCCAGAAAAAGTGTTTGTGAGAAGTTGAGGCACCTTTAGTTGTGCAAAGCTGCTCTGAACTCCCTTCTCAAAGGATTAGTGAAGGCTCTCAGCCTGCTACAGCAGAGCCTGAGAGTGACAGAGAAATGGCTGCTTATTGAGCTGTGAAAGGAGAGCTCAGGATACTTCTCCGTGAACCCTCTGCAGGCAACAAACATGTAGACAAGCCCCTGAAGTTAATCAGTGATAAAGATACTAAATTATCGTTGGGATTTCAGCCTTGGCTCTTGCAGAGATAGCACTGAAACAATACCTTTGTGCTTGTAACAGCTCAGAGTTTAGGGTGATTTTTTAGGTCTCCACCTTTTCCTTAGGTGTCATTTGAAAGGAGAATCCTTCAGGAGTCCAAGTCAGTCACTGTGGATCTGTCAGTGTGGCAGAGTGCTTCACTGCAGGCATACGAGTGCTTGTGTTGGGAGTTAATTAAATCCACCCTCGGAATATATAGTCAAGGCAAAAGGTGAGTCCAGTGGAAATGGAACGTGACCAACTGTTAGAGGAGGATTTTCTCTTTCTTGGGAGCTCACCTTCCTTAAACAAGGCTTAGGAGAATAATTAGTCCCTTGAAAGTAGGGCAGTGAGGAATAGGCTGTAACAGTGCACAGCAGGACTCCTCAGTCCTCTTTCAGCACACATTGTCCAGAGTTGCTGGTGGTGTTGTGAATGAGGAGTGCTTCAGGTGGACACCAAAAGTCTCTCTTAATAGCAGAGTCGTGCTTAATGTGCTTCCCAGTTTTTACATATTGAATGACAGAGCTGAAACAACTTCATGTAGTGATCTTGTCCTGTACTCCCTGTGTTGTTTGTATTCCTTAGTTCTTACTGCTGGATCCATCAAAGCTGGTTGTGCCATGACTAAGGATCCATCCAAGTCTGTGGTGATGGTGCTCAGGGTGTTTATCCAGAGAGGTTCAGAGTCCTTGAGCTGCCCTTGAGGCAAACACCATTTCAGTAGCCCTTGTGTTGGCACAGTCTGTGTGGAGCCTGGCTGAGGGGTCACAGGGAGCATAACCCCTCTAAGCTGTCACAGCTGTGGTGAGTAGGCTCTGGTTTCTGTGGCCCTGTAAGTCACTTGCTAAGTAGCTTAAGTGATGCTTACCTCAGGTACTTGAGAGAGTCTTAGGGGGCTGCAGTTGTTCAGGTGTGACATGGTGAAGAGGGTGATTCTGGGAAGCTCAGCTGCATCATCTCCTTCCCTTCATGGTTGTTATGTGCTCCATTTGCTGTGCCTCTGCCAGAGAGGAGTCAAAGCTTTCCTTCTGTGGTCAGTTCTTTCCAAACCCACTCCAAAAGAGGTGGTGTGTGTCAGCAGTTCAGTTTTGGAGGGGCTGGGGGGAGACCGAAGGTGCAAACCTGTGTTCAGGGGCTTGGATTGGAAACGTGGCAGGTTCTTAGTGCTGGTGTAACAGTGTTGTCTGGAGCTGAGCTGGAGTATGTGTTTCAGTGGGTATTTTTAATTCTGATTTTTATATCTTGTTATTCATGTCAGAGACTAAAATGTGTTTATTTTTCCCCCCACATAAATGTGGAATTGGGGCAGGAAGCTGAAAAGGAATAGTGAGTTGAGGTGTTGTTATTTTTACATTGCCATGGAATTCCTCTCGCACGACTGACTGCAGCTGAACACCAGTTAATGCCTGAATTTGCTTAATGTGGAAGTGTGCCAAGTGCCTGGAATGAGGATTTGAAATGGAAAAAAGGATATTATTCGTTGTAGCTTCACAACCTTCTGGTGGCTGTGGCTCTCAGCCTGCCTGCCTCTCTGCTTTGATGGCTGTTGGTGCTGCTGGGGATGCAGAGGGGAGGAGAGAATGTTCCCGTGAATACCTCAGCACCTGTCTCGTCATCGGGAGCACACTGCAGTCCTACTGCAGGTGTCCCTGCAGCACAGGCTGCTGGTGCCAGCCGTGGGGATGGGGTTCTGCCATTTCAGCAGCAGGGACTGTCACTCCTCTCTCTGTCCTCCCTCTCTCCCTCCCCCTTGCTGCTTCATTTTAGCAGGGAGATGGAGGAATAAAATGAAAGAAGATACTGTTGAGATGTTCCAGCTGCCAGACTTCAGATTTCTGCTGAACGAGGCGTTTGGGCTTGGGGAGGGTCAGTGCACGCTGGAAAGACAACAGATGGGATTGTGTGTCCCAGATCAGTGGGATCCCTCACTGAGGGAAGAGGTGGTGCTGCCAGACTGTGCCTGCAGTGACAGTGCTGCTGGAGTAGCAGGGCAGGGCCGGTGAGAATCACACAGCTTGTTCCTCCTGGGAATTGGGCTCGGGGAAAGCCCACAAAGGCTGCAGTGGAGTGGGCAGAGTCATCTGCTGCACTGGGCTTCTGTGTCTGCTCTGCCTTGCTGTGCCCAGGGAGCTGATCCGGATCTCAGGAAAATTGTGTCTTGAGGAAGGAGCCAGGAAACCATCACTTTCCCTTCAGAGCTGTCTCATCTGAGCTGGGTGGTGGTGATGCTCTGGTCTGACCCCAGAAATGGCAGCCACTGCCACAGCCTTCAGCAAAGCCTGGATGGAATCTCTTCTGTAATACATTATTAATGCTCTGGAGATCTGTGCCTTAAAATGCCTTGAAACCTGTGTTAGCTGAGTGGTAATTTCACCTGCAGACATCCAAGTGAAAAGCAGAACCATATACTTTGCCTTAATATTTGGTTTGAGGAAGTCAGTCTTTTCCCCCTATTTTATTTGAAGATGTGTAAGTTGGTTTCTCTGTCCTGATCTTTGAATCCGTATTTTCCCAGGCAGCTGCCTTGAAACTGAGATGTATTTTGAAATCATCAGGGTGGTATTTTGAGGGCTAAAAGGCAGCAAGGTAGAGAGCAGGCATGTAGTTCTTGATTTACTGTCAGGTGTTATACATGATAATATGCAGAGTTTTGAGGGTTGTCTGTTTGCATGTTGGGTTTTGGATGCCCAAGTGAAAAACTGGTGCTTGAAATACTTGGCCCAGTTTGCCATGTTCCAAATATATCCTCGCTTTGTTTTGATTCACTCTTGCCTCATGAATCCCTTGATGTGCATCAGATGGTTAGACACAAGACATGAAAAATACCCAGCAGTGTCGTGCAGAGGAGACTTAGGTGGTTATCAGGCAGAGCTGGACTTTGCTCTTACACTGGGAATGGGGATTTATTTCCTCTTGACAGTGCCAGTTGCAAAGTAATAGTGTCACCATTGCTATTTCTGTGTGAATCAAGCTCAGGGTGCTATTCTGAAGGGAACAGTGGGAAATATGTTGTTGTAAGGGAAATCTCATCAAAGTTGTATGAAAGACTGGTGTAGATAGATAGACAGACACCCTTTTTTTTGGTGCAGTCTTGGAGGTGTGAGGGCTAAAATTGGTGCAGAGTTAAAGCTGAGATTATCCTGGGCAGGAGTTGCTGGAGCACTGGGAAAGGCAGTGTGGCTGTGGGTCAGGCATGAGGAGTTCCTCGTGGGCAGCAGGATTAAAGCTGCTCACCGAGGGAGGGAGTCGTTTTTAGCTGAGTAAGGGAAGAATCTGAAGCTTCTTTGCTCGGCCAGTGAGGAAGTGAGACTGGGACTGAGGTTTAACTGACCTGCTCGAGGTTGTGGCTTTGGTCTGAAGGTGCATTTGCAACACCTGATGGGTTTGAAAATCCCTGTTAAATATCACGATGTCTTTCAAAACTGTTTGCTGCTCTCCAGAAATGTTGAAGCTGGGAAAAATCAGCGGTTACAGCCCTTGGAAACTGGCAGTAAGTGCCTCACTAAGAGCTAAACCCAAAGGACTGTCAGGTAAGGTTTGTTTGGGGGGGTGCAGTTTGCAGGAGTGATAGCCACCAACTGTTCCTTGTGCACTCCATGCTGCTCCTCATAGATCCCTTTGGCACCCTCTGGGTGTCAAACACCGCAGGCCCAAGTGCCTAGGCCAAAACTGAGCCAATTCTAAATTGTACTCAGTGCCTGTTACAAGGCAAAAGTCTTCTGAGGAAATCTGAGGAGCAAACCTGTGTTGAATTGTACGCCTGGAAAATAGGGACCAACCCCAAGAACAAAGGAAGAAACAGGCAGAGAAAACATTTTTCCTGAAAGGTGGAGGTTTTGCCTTTTAAAATACTTGTCTGGGCAAGTGTGGCTCATCCAAATCAGGTTTCAGATGCTGCTGTTGTGTGTTATGGGGCTTAAAAAAATAAATCCTGTTATGTTAATGAGCACAGCTTGCTGTTTCGTAGCTGTGTGTGCTAGACACTGCCACTGCACTGCTGCCTTCTTAAAGCACGGTTCACACTGCTTTTGAGCACGTCTTCGAGACAGAGAAATACTATATTGTCTGTTTTCTTATGAAGAATGGCTGAAATCCATGTAGGAACTTGCACTGCTTCCAGGAAGGTGTGGCTGGATGGCCTAAGTGCCATTCAGGTTCTTCTGAGCAAGTGTTTGGGCTGGGGAATGGCACTGTGTGCCCAAATGTGCCATACTGAGCAGCTGTTTGCTGCTCTGCCTCCACATGGCACGTGTTACAGCAGTACTGGGTGGGATTCAGGGTCCTGAAGGTTTGCTCTGTGCTCCTTCCTGGCTGGTGTGTGTGCAGGATGGCCTGAAGGAATGGGGTTGGCAAAATGGGCACTTGGAATCAGGAGAGAAACCTGAGATAGGAAGGAGAAAATGACTTTTTACAGCCTTTTCTTAATGTCTCTGGCTTGTGCTTGTGGCACGGCTGTGATTGAGGGAAACTCTCAGCTGGTGATAACCAGATGCTAGAGATGCTCTGTAGAGGAATGAGCAGAGCCAGGAACTGATCAGGTGGATAAATAATCGAATTTGGGGATTTGCAGTAAGGGGAACTGAGTGTTTCTGCAACTGTTCATAAAGGAGGTTTTAAAGAGTTGTTTTTATTGTTCTCTCCTGTTGATAAGGTTCAGCTGGTGCTAAAGCTCTGTGGTGATGGTGCTGGTGGAGTGAGGCTGGAGTTGCTGTCATTTTACGTTAGTGGTGTTCATTTAGGCATTCTGGTAGTAAAGGGACTTGCCCAGCGTCATGCCTCAGTTGATGGTGTGGTGCTGGAGGAGTTGCTTGGTGCTGAGTACTGGATTTCTGTCTCCTAAGTGGAGAGGATGTGAAGGTATGTGGAGCGTGTCCTCCCTCCTCCCTGGTGTAATGTAGAATTAGGAAGATGCAAATCTGTGTTTAGCCTTATAAGTAGTAAATTTGAGATCAATAGGTGACTCATAGCTTTTCTTCAAGCCCTTAATGCATGGGGGTTTGGTTTGTGTGTGTGGGTGTAGTTATTTGTGGGTTTGTGGGTTTTTTATTGTGAGGGAAACGATTGAGTAAGTTTCTTGTTCGACCTCAGTTCACATCTGTGTGAGGATGTGGAGGCAGAAGTATGGACTCGTGTCCATCGCACGCGTGTGGGTTGTGCTGGTGGCAGTGTCCTGAGTGGGTGTCTTGGTGGTGAGAGATGGATGGAGTTAGTTACCACCAGGAGCTGAGTGCTGTCTCTGATTCAGCACCACGTGGTGGCAAAGGTGTGCTGTGCCTTCATGTCCTGAGCTGGTCTGCATTAGAATGTGTGCTCAGTACTGGGTGCTTGGCAGTCAGAACGTTACTGACATCTTGGGGGATGTCTTCAGGGTGTGTAGATAGGAGTCCTGCTTGGGAGCAGCCAGGACTTGGGAATGCTGTTCTCCTGCATCTTCTTGGTTGTGGAAACCTCAAATACACCAGAAATCATTATGAGCAAAGTAAACTTGGGCAAATACAGAACATGAGAACTTTAGTTCAGGACGAGAGAGGAGGAGAGGTCTTGTAAGAGAGGCCTTGTGTTGGGGCCTGTCTGAACAATTGGGTTTTGTCAGGGTGTTGTTGGATCAGAGGAATACTGATGGACAGCACAGATGGAATATTCTGATATGTAAGGTGGAGCATTTCTGTGCTGCTCCACACTTCTTTTAGTTAAGGGAAATAAAATACATCTGAAGCCCTTTAAAGGAAATGTCTGTTTACTTGGCCTGGTACATGGAAATGCTTTGTCTTTGGTGTGTAGCTTCTGTGGGGAAGGCAGGAGTTTCTGAGAGACCAAAGTGGAGTTTTCCCTTCTACCAGCATACAATTTTATTCCCCCACTGTCAGGCACTGTGTCTTTTATCACTGCCCCTGCATGGTATTAGGTGTCGTGTGGAACCAGCTGGAAGGACAAGACTTTAAAGCTAACGATACCCTGAAGCAAAATGGCAATTTAAGACTACAGAGGAGTGGAACTGGAGGCTGGATGAGAAGTTCTGCAGGTGGATCTCTTCTACCTGGGAGAAGGAAAGATTTTTTAACCTATGTTTAATATCATAAACTAGTCTAAAGTGGATTTTTTTCAGGAAGTTAATTTCTTGGTGTTGTTCTGAAGGGTTTAAATGACAGTACCTAATATCAACATTCCCAAAACTTCATTGCAGAAGGAGTTTTCTGCTGGTACCAGGTGGGTGTCTTGGTGCTGTGTTGTTTGTGGGTGGATTGCTGCTTCTCCCCATTCTCCACGGCTTGTTTCTTAACTCACACCACACTCCTATTCTTAGCTGGAAGGAAGACAGGAGGATTGTTTTTTTCCATTTGAAACTTAAACTGCATAAAAGACCTAATTTTGGGGAGAGGATGTGAGTGGGGAGAGACGTTTTCCTATTTTGACTCTTCGCAGCAAATATTTCGTGGTGTTAGGGAGAACCACAGCAGCTGTTCACTATCTCACTCACAGGAGGTTTCTTCAGCTAGTCTGAGCAGTTGGGATTCTGCTCCAGTTGGGTGAGCCAAGAATTCTTCCCACTGCTCTGGAGTTTGCCTTTCCAGGGGTGAAATCTGTCACTTGGCTCCAGAACAGTGCAGTGGTTCCTCTCTCTTGCTGCTTGTCCTCTGGAAGAAGACAAATGGCAAGTCCTCAGATGACCTAAAAGTGGCCTAAAAATGGTGTTGTAGATGTAGGGAGCAGTGATGGGTGAAGGAACCTGACGAGGCAGGATTGAACTGTTCCTGAGGACTGGGAGGGAAACTAGGAGTTGCCTTCACCAGTTTGCCAAGCTGGAAAGCTGCAGCCTGTGTGAGTATTGGAAAAAGTAGTGCTGAGGAGCAACATGGAATGCTGCAGGACTGTCCTGCTGTTGACATTGCAGCCACTTCGATCCCAAGTTGAAACTCCTTCCCTTCAGCTTGGTGTTCCCAGGTTTGGAGGAGGAGGAGAGCCGAGAGGCTGCAGAGGAACAGAGGGAGCTTTCAGAGGTGCCCTCAAGGTGTATATTCCTGTATTGCCAGGAGCAGACCAGAGGTTGGGTTTCTCAGTGGTGTAGCTGAAGGGATAATTGGAAGACATCTGGGAAGTAGTCCTCAGCCTGCCTTCCTTAACAAACAAGGTGTCCAGGTGCCAGCTGAGCATACCCTAGGAAGGGCTGAGCAGGAGGCAGACAGCAGAAGGCAGAGTTGTGTGAGCTCTGCACTTGTGATGAGAGAGAATAGATGGAAGGCTGGAAGGAGACCTTTCAGGAGTCCTGGGATGAACTGGTCTCTCTTCTGGTTCACCTACCCACACAGATGAGTTCTTGGGGCATTTATCTGCAGGAGCCTGAACTTGTGATGCTCATGGGACTGCTTTGAAACTTTGGAGACATTAAGACTAAAATGAATTGTGTTTCTGTCTGGCCAAGCAGTATTCCATGTGGGAATAGATGACTGCTGTACCACAGACAGTGGCTGCTTTTATCCAGAGGTGGCTGAAGCTTTGAATCACGTTGTAGGGGTGACTGACGTGTGTGGTTTGTCTGTCTGGCACACTGGCATTTGGATGGATTGTGATTTTGGGTTGTGATTGGGGTTTTAGTGCTTGCCCAGTCCTCCTCTAACAGGCAGAATAACACAAATGGGTATTAGGGGCTTTTCTCTCCAATATACTCATCTCTTCCTTAATTCCTACATGTTTCACAACCAAAAGAAATGGAGAGCACAGTGATGGAGGTTCTTCAGAACTTGGACCACTCAGCATCTGTTTTCTGAGAAAGACAGATACAATGGGTGGCATATCCAGTAGGTAATGTTTCAAAGAGATGTTTTCTTGAAGTCCTTCTGCGTTTCATTAGAGTTGATTGTATGTGGAAGGTGTTGCTGGTCCTTTTGGTTGTTTTCTTTGAATTTTGGATTAGGAGACATCAGACTTGAAGTGTGATAGCTGAGGCCAACTAACTAAGTACTACAAGGCAAATGCTTCAGTGGTAACTGAAACTGTGGAGGGTTTTCTGTTTTAAGTCTATTTTGGTCAATTGTATCAGTCTTCAACCAGATCTGCTATTTTTCAGGTGGAATCGTTCATCTTGGATCAGGATGATCTGGAAAACCCCATGCTGGAAACAGCCTCTAAACTGCTGTTGTCGAGTACTGCTGATGGTGCTGACCTGAGAACAGTAGATCCTGAAACCCAGGCAAGATTGGAAGCTTTACTTGAAGCTGCAGGTAAGTCCTTGTGTCCCATACACGTTTAACCCAAGCCCTTCCACACAAGTCCATACTGGAACCACTTGCATAAGGTTAATCCATGGGAGCATGATACAAATGCAAAATTTGTGGCAGCAGGAAGAGAAAGGAGTTTATGAAAGCATTTCAAGGTTTGGAACATCAGCTTCATGTAAAGGTGCTTCATACCAGATTGCTCCAGTGTTGGATTTCTAAAAGCCTCCATCAAAACTGACGCCTGACCTTGGGCTTTGCTCCATGTTATCAACCCCTAGATAGCTCCATCCTTGCAGGATCTGAAGGGGCTGCAGGGAAGCTGCAGAGGGACTCTGTGTTAGGAACCGCAGTGACAGGACAGGGAATAATGGGGATATATTGAAAGAGGGAAATTTAGGTCAGATATTAGGCAGAAGTTTTTGCAGTGAGGGTGGTGAGACCCTGGCCCAGGTTGCCCAGGGAGGCTGTGGCTGCCCCAACCCTTTTCCCAGCCAGGTTGGATGAGCCTTGAGCAACCTGCTCTGGTGGGAGGTGTCCCTGCCCAGGGCAGGGCTTGGGGCTGGGTGGTCTCCAAGGTCCATTCCAACCCTTAACATCCTATGAAACTATACTATGAGGTTTTATTTTGTGCCAGCTGCTGTGGGTAAAGCTTTAATAGTTGCTTGTATGAAGTAGCTGAAAACTCTTGCCTTCTTGGAAGGATTCAGTCACGTGCAGCTCTCACACGAGTGCTGTAAGAGTTAATCCCTTGGGTTGGGCTGTCGTCGGTGGCGCTCGGATCCCAATTTGAACTTGCCCTGTTCTCTCCTCCCCTGGCACGTGTCCCCCGGGCTGGAATTGTGCTGCAGGGATCGGGAAGCTGTCGACGGCCGACGGAAAAGCCTTTGCAGACCCCGAGGTGCTGCGCAGACTGACCTCCTCGGTCAGCTGCGCGCTGGACGAAGCTGCCGCCGCGCTCACCCGGATGAGGGCCGAGAGCACAGCCAATGCGGGGCAGACGGACAAGTAAGCCAGACTCCCTCCTCGGCACTTTTCTCAGTCCCTGGCTGCTTTGAGAAGCAGTTTTTCTTGTTGTATGGCTTCTGCTTACGGGGTGATGAAACTCTTGCTCCAGTGGAATCGGTGCCAAGTTATCGCCTGTGGTTCTGCTGTTAAATGTTTCTGGACTGGCAGGTCTGGCAGTGGAGAGTGGAGCAATTAATGCTGCTCAGAATGCAGGAATCACACTTCAAGGAGTTTATCCTGACCAGCTATAGAAAAATTCCTCAGCTCTTCAATAGTGTGGGCCTTAGAACTGTACCAGAAAGTTGCAAATCCCAGAGTGGGTCATTCAGCATGAAACTAGGGATTAAATGAAACCTTTCAGGGAGCTTGAGAGTTCCTTTGTAATTAAGGAGGGACAGCTGCAGCTTCATGATGGTCACTGTCACGCAGGACCCTGGACAGAGCCTCAGTTCTGGCTCTTGTGCTGTTCTTTCTGGCTCTGTTTGTGGGGGTCTGTCTTGCTGAGGTGTTCAGGAGGGAAGGAAAAAGGTTTGCTTCCAGGCTGCCCTTAAGCTTTAATGTTAGTAGGGAGAACCAAGTGCTGCTGTACTGGTTGAAAGTTTGTTCCTTCTACACTGAGTAACTCCAGAGGAGCATTTCTTGGTGTGTGGACAGGACACATGAAAAGCAGAATCATTTGGGGTTATGCCTTCTGTTCTGTGTGGGTCCCTCCCTGCCCTCAGCTGTCTCTTCCTTGTGAACAGTGGCTGCTGCCAGAGGTGCTTCTGGATCAGAGGATCTGTGATAAAAACACAGTGAACAGACATACCTGACCACTAATTCTCCACACATTGTGTCTGGTGGCACAAGTTAAATAGCAATCTTGGGTAGGATACACAGGGATAAATTAGTCCTCACTACACAAACACCTGCTTTTACATCCTGAGCAGGTGGAGAATTGCTCCTATTCACATGAAATTACACATGGTGTGTGAAATTTTTGTCACCTACCTGATTTTTCCATTTCCTTTGGTGTTGTGTGTTGACTGGGCTTCCTAAATGGTGAAGAGATGACAGGGGCAGTGGGTGGGGTGGGGCCAGTAGTCTTAGATTTAGTATTGATCCAGGAATTTGGAACAGAATAGAGAAATATGTTAGATCTGAGGTTTTATTCTCACCAGACAGTAATTGTTTTGAAATGAGGCAATGTCCACAGAAAGTGTAACCAGCAGGATGGAAACTATGCTTCCAGTAGAGCCTCTTTTCAGTGAAACAGAGTTAGAATGAGACTCTCACTCTGAAAATGAAGAACTCAGAGTGATGCACAACAGGTGCTCTGATTTAGGGCTTAGCAAGTCAGAAGACCTTCACACTTTTCTGCTTGGTTCTGTTCAGGGCCACACCTGAAACATCAGCACAGGACAGAGGGGAAGTGGTTAGTTTTGTTACAGCAGGAGCGCTGTGGGTGGTTTGTGTCGGTTGAGTTTGCAGTTACAGTGCTGAACACACCACGTTTCCTCAAGGTGGACAGGTGATTTCCATGTCCTGTGGTCCTGGGGTGTCCTGCAGATGTTCCTCTCGTACACTGGTGTTGGAAGGGGCAGCAGAGTGGGTGTGCACGTTGCCCAGTTGTCAGCCGAGTTAGCTGGAAAAGCTCAAGCGTGAAACTGGCACCTCTTTAATTAGCACTTGGCACATGTTCAGCTCCCGTTTCCTTTTCTGCTGACTGCATCCCCATGGCACGTTGGATTTCAGGCCCAGGCCATTCTCACTGCTCAATGCTCTCTGTCTCCTTAGCCGCAGCTTGGCCGAGGCTTGTTCCGAGGGGGATGTAAATGCCGTGCGGAAGTTGCTCATTGAGGGCCGGAGCGTGAACGAGCACACGGAGGAAGGGGAGAGCCTCCTTTGTCTGGCCTGCTCAGCAGGATATTATGAGCTTGCACAGGTTGGTTTGTACCACGTGTGGCACAAAAGAAGTGCTAAATCGGTGTGTTCCAGCTCTGCACTCCTGGAAGGGGTGTTAAGGCAGTGGGAATGTCATTTGGTTGGCAGGTGTTCCAGCTCTGCACTCCTGGAAGGGCTGTTAAGGCAGTGGGAATGTCATTTTGCTGGCAGTGTCTCACACTGAAACGGGATGTGTTTTGGGCATTGTTGGTGCTTGTTTTCTGCGAGGGTTTCTCACACAGCACTGTGGGGAAGGTGGGATCTTGCTATAGCCTGTGGTGTGTCCCTGCCAGCGTCGCTGATCCCGCTGTGTCCGCAGGTTCTCCTGGCAATGCACGCCAATGTGGAGGACCGGGGGATCAAGGGAGACATCACGCCCTTGATGGCTGCTGCCAATGGTGGCCACGTCAAAATCGTCAAGCTGCTGCTGGCTCATGGTGCTGATGTGAATGCACAGTCATCCACAGGTAAAGGAGGGTGTTGGGAATGGCTGGAGTTGGGGTGTGCGTGGAAGTCTGCGAGGAGTGGCTCAGACAAGCCGTGCTGAATGCTTCCTTGTAGCTTCACCAGTTCAATTCATCTTGTTTTAGTGAAACTCAAATACTGTTGGATGCAGACGTAGGAAGGTGGATGAGGTCAGTTAGTAACTGAAAGCTGAGCACCTAGGATTTGTTGGCACATTTTAAGCACAGTTTGGTAAGTTTATGTGCATGTGGAAAACTTATTTGATGTCAGGTCTAGGAAACCAAGGGGAGAACTGGAAGCATGAGATGATGTTCCTTTTCCCCCACTTCCCATGGCAGTTTGGTAGGCATTTGTGTTGGAATGACCAAATAGGGAAGTAGTCTGAGTTTCTGCATCTGTGGAGAGCTGGTGTGTAGTCGTCAGTCAGTGACAAATGCAGAGCTGACCCTGAGTGAGGAGACCAGGAGACACCTTAGTTATTTTTATTCTGGTTTTTTCAGTGCATTAGTTCTCTGAGTAGCAGCACTGCCTTGACCATTAACTTTTTTCCAAAGTAAAGGCAGATTTATGACTGTTCAGTTGAGATCCCTGTTTTTGTAGTTTTTCCATGCAGTTTGTTTTCATCTCCTCATTGGAGAAATGAAATATAAATAACACCCTCAATGGACATTTTGGAACCAGCCCTTTAGAGGAGTTTAAGGCTTGATTTGGAAGCAACAGTTCATTCTGCTCCTGGTGTTGAGGTTTCCTTTTCACAGCATAGTCCCTGCTGTGTCCCCTGGCAGTGTCCCTGCTGGTTAACAGGGAAACGGATGGGTTTTGTGGTGGAAGCTGGACTGGAAATGGGAAGAGAGGTGCATCAGCAAGGGACAAAGAGATCTTAGTCTGAACCTGAAGATCAGTGAGCTGCTTGGTGCCATTATTTATGTTCCCCTCCCTTATCTTGGTCTGTAGCCTGAAAACCCTGCTCTGTCATGTATCCAGGGAAAAGGGCATGGAGTGGAGCATCAGGTGCAGCTCCTGGTTTAGACAAGCCAACAGATTCTGTTTCCAACCCAAACACCATCAAATTGTGTTTCCAACCCCTCTTCCCTCTGTCTCTAGGCAACACAGCCCTGACCTATGCCTGTGCTGGAGGCTATGTGGACGTTGTGAAGGTGCTGCTGGAGTCAGGTGCCAGCATTGAGGACCACAACGAGAACGGGCACACGCCGCTGATGGAGGCCGGGAGCGCCGGCCACGTGGAGGTGGCCAGGGTGCTGCTGGAGAACGGGGCTGGCATCAACACCCATTCCAACGAGTTCAAGGAGAGTGCACTCACCCTGGCCTGCTACAAAGGTATGGCATGGGGGAGCTGTGGCAGGTGTGGAGCCCTTGCTGCCCGGGCCACGGTGAGGGTGAAGGCTGTGACTAGGCACTGTGTGCTGCTTTTACCCTGGCTGTGATACCACACGTGTGTGTGCCATGTGGGACATGATCTGTGAGGAGTGTGTGAGTATCGAGATGTAAACCTTTCATAGTGTCACTGTGTGTTAAGGGGTTGGAGTGGAGTTCAGAGATCATCTAGTCTCATCCTGTCCCTGCCCTGGGCAGGGACACCTCCCTCCAGGCCAGGCTGTTCCAGGCCCCATCCAGCCTGGCCTTGGGCACTGCCAGGCTTGGGGCAAACTCTGGTCTGAGACATGATGCTTTGAAAGGTCCTTTATTAAATAAATTAGGAGACAGGGAACTAATGTCATCGGATAAGTGGCTATACAAGATACCTCTGCTTAGATACAGGAATGATTTAATTTTGAAGGACTTGACACCTGAAAATCATGGAAAATCGAGGATCTTGCCTTTTAGGTGTCAGTGCTTGGGCAACAGCCCTTTCTTGCCTCCTGTGGAGCATTAGGCAGCATCTTGCACCACCCAAGGAAGGGTTGAAGATGTTTAAGAGGCCAAACGTGTTCCTACAGCTCAGCAGCTGCTGTTATTGTCACTTAGGACATGTTTTACTAGAGCTATTAGAGTGGCCCTTGGCATCACAGAGTAGCTCAGGTACTTCTGTGGCACCTGTGTAGAAGTTGGTCTTAGTCTTTCATTTATGTTTATCTGCCTGGGTAATTTCTTGGCTTGGTGTTGCTGAGCACCATCATAAGACACAGTGGTTTTTGCTGTGGCTGTCAGAGCCAAGGCTGTATTTGACAGAGCAGTGGGACCCCAGAACATTTCCTCCCTGAGACTGTGTGCTTGAGCTCTGAACCTTGGAGTGAGGTTGGAAAGCAGAGGTGAAAAACTCCAAGTCTGTGCATAGTCAGTGGATTGGATTGGAGTTAAGAGTAACTACACTGATCAGCTTCTGTGCACATCAGATGCAGAATTATGAGCATGCCTTTCCAGAGGGGTTTTATGTTCTAATATGGCCATCCATTACCTTCATGACCTATGTTAGACCCTTTCTGTGAGCTCTGAAATAGCTTCTCCCTGTGAACTCTTTTCTTCACACAGGCCACCTAGAAATGGTGAGGTTCCTGCTGGAAGCCGGTGCAGACCAGGAGCACAAGACAGATGAGATGCACACTGCTCTCATGGAGGCTTGCATGGTAAGGGACATATTCTCCTCCTTTCCTGACATGGATAAAGTAATTCCTTTTGGTCTCCTTTTGTTACACAGCCTAACTGTGATATTTGGTTCCCTTACATACTTCATGGAAGAATTAGTGATGGGAAAATCCTTCACATAGAAATTAACGAATTAAATAACTCAAGTGGAAAAATTCTCTGTAGTTGTTAAAACGCCTTTAACATTTCTAATGTGCTCAGCAGAGGCAGTGAATGTGGCCCTAACCTCATTGCTGGAGGGTTTAGCATACCCAGATCACGTTGTAGAAATCTGTAAGCTGAATTCTCTGTCAGTGTAGGTGGTTACTTGTGTAATAGCCACGTGCTCCTGGAAAACACAGGACCAGGAACTGGGAAGTAACTAGGAAATGGAAGGGGAAGTTGTTAACTTCTTACTCAGGGGAGTGCTTTGATGCTGCTGCTTTGTCCCTCTGAGGCCGTTGTATTCATCTGAGTATGGAACTTAAATGTTAAACTGAACATTCATCTCTGAAAATTCCTTTTTTCATTCTCTCTAAGCAGATTCCTTGTGAACTGGGTTTTCTTGTCACTATATAGTGTCACATGTGAACCTGTGGCTGTAGAGAAAGGCCCTAAATCCCTGTGTAGTCTGCCCTTCCCTGGAACAACTGAAATCAGCCAGTTGTGCCTGTTCAAGGAAGTTAATGGCTTTGGATAGGGGAATCATTAACAAACCATTGTGCTTCTCCAAAGTCCTTGGAAAGAAAGTCTTGTAGATAAACAGGGCTGGAGCTGTCCTTTATCTCACCCTGAAATCTCCCATGCCACATAAATCTCCTGGGCACTGGCCTTGCAGCCAGTTCCCTGGGAGGTGATGATACAGTAATCTTGTTGGATGTTGCAGTTGGATTCCCATGGGAACAGCTTCCTGATGGAGCTGTGGATCAAGCCTTGCCACCTTCTTCCCCCCTTTTGCCTCCACTAATAGGCTAACAGATTTCCATTGGACTTGCAGAACTGTCAAGACCTATTTTTTTATTTAGACTTACTGAGTAATAGCAAAGAATTGTTCTCCCTTATTTCTGCAGGAAGCTGTTCCTAGGGAGGCATTTCCAACTGGCACATAGTTGAGAGTCTCATGCCTTCAGCTCTGCCGAGGAGGGGGAGCAGCTTTCTCCAGCAGTATTTAAAGAGCTTGCAGTGTGAAGTGAAGCAGAGCAGGGACTTCATCTCAGCATGTTTTTTTCTGCAGAAATACTCATTTCTCTTTAGTAGCACAAGAAGTCTTCCTTCTCCAGAACAGCAATGGCCTCCAGCGTGTGTTTGTCTGTGGCACAGCACTTGCATCTGAGCCAGCAAGGGTTTCAACCTTGCCCTACAAGGCATCCAGGAACGTTTGTGCCCAAGAGATTTTTATGGAGAGCAGTTACTATTGATTTAATGCAAATGAGGCGTTGGGCAACGGCCTTTGCCTCAGGGGGAGCAAAAAGCAGGTTTGTCTGGTTGGCATTTCCTCTGTTGGAGGACTGCTGCCCACAGAGCTTCATCTCTAAAACAGAGCTGGTGCTTTCCTGCTGGTTGCTCAGGTGACTCAGTAGCAGCTGGTAGGCTTTTCCTAGCTGTTGTAGAAGAGCTGAACAGCCCCTCCCCATTGTTAAAACCTGGATAGAATTCCCTGGTGTGGTGAAGCACCAGCAGTTCTCCTCCAGGCTGCCTGGCCCACATAGGAGGCTTTGAAGCATACCTTGATGCTGCTGCTTGCCATCCTTGTGGTGGATTGGGGCGATCAGTGAGCTGTCTTGCCAGAGCCTGATGGCTGAGGCACCAGCTCTGCATTTCCCTGAGGAAACATTCTTTGTGGAGCCTTGGAGTTTCTCCCTAAAATAGTTCTGTCGTTTCATGTAAAAGGTGAATATGTCCTAGTTAATGCCCTAGATATTTTTCCAAGAGGAAATCGTGTTTTGCTCCCTGGATATCAGGAGAAGGTATAAAACACTTGAGAAAATGAAGCAGAAAAATGTCAGATGCAGTTTGGTATTTTGTCTGGAAAAGAATTGTTTGGGATTGTGGTTTCCAGCTTGGCAATGGCTGCGATTTGCTGCCTCTCAGTAGTTAGTCTGAGATCAAGGTGTACTCGCCCTGCTCAGTGACAACCTTGGGGTAGCCTTGTGTTCCTGGTGAGCAGCTGTTGATTCTCTGCAGCCCTCCTGTGTGGCAGATTATGGTTGCTCCAAGTGGGAATGATGGCAATGTCCTCATGGAGAACACCAGCTTGGAGAGCTGGTGCTGTTGTTGGAGCGCAGCAACCAAGCCGGTTGCCCACCAGCTTGGAGAGCTGGTGCTGTTGCTGGAGTGCAGCAACCAAGCCGGTTGTCTGAACAAAAGGCAGTGGGATGTGTCACTCTCAGGCCTCCAGTGTAAACAAGGAGCTGAAAAGCCACTTCAGATAGCTCCTGAATTTATGGCATACTGAAAGCGTGATGAGGATCCTATGCTCAAATATTTTTCAAGGGGGAAGGCAAACTCAGGAGGTACCTTTTGGTAGAACAAGTTTGACAACATGATCGTGGTCCCTGGAAAACCCTGCCAGGACCCTGCCAAGGGAAGGCCATCACTCCAGTGACTCCTGACAAACAGTCTTGTTTGGGCCTTTCTCTTGGAGGGAGAAAGTAAGTCCTGACTGCTGTTAAATTGAGCAGTGCACTGAATTTGCAGGAGCCAAGAGGCTCCAGGTCAGTGTGCACAGCTGCTTTTTATGGAAAAAAGGAAGCAAAAGGACTTCAGTGTTGTTCTTGTGGTGAAAAAAATCATGGTGAGCTCCCTCTCAACTTTCTGGGCTTTATTTTGGGGTTCCCCCCCAAGTGAGGTGATCCCAAACCCTTGAACTCGAGTCTGATGTGAAGCTGTGCAGCTTGTTGGTTGCACCATCAACAGAGAAGTCTTTATATGGGGTTCATGGTATTTTAGGTTTGAGTTCATCCTATTCAGTAGAATATGCTCAAGGTTTCTTCAGGTGCCTGTTTAATAGGAGATTTTTATCCAAATGCTTAGGGAAAATCTTTTGGAAAACTGTCAAGCAAGTTTAATGCTTTAATGGATTCACTTTACTCATTGCTTTCTGTGTCTCCTGAGGGAATGTGAGCCCGTGACAAAGATCTGGAGAAAAACAGTTTCTCTGTGTGGACAATCTCTTGACCTTGGCTGTTTGAATTCCAGGATGGCCATGTGGAAGTGGCAAGATTACTGCTGGACAGCGGGGCCCAGGTGAACATGCCTGCGGACTCCTTCGAGTCTCCGCTGACCTTGGCAGCCTGTGGGGGGCACGTGGAGCTGGCAGCTCTGCTCATCGAGCGCGGAGCCAACCTGGAGGAGGTCAACGACGAAGGGTACACACCACTGATGGAGGCAGCTCGGGAGGGCCACGAGGAGATGGTGGCACTGCTGCTGGGGCAAGGTACCTAACCACGGGGCCTCCGTGGGCTGCAGCCAGCAGGCAGGGGCAGGTGGTGGGGCAAGCAGCACTGGGTTACTGTGGGTTTGGGATGTGGGGCGATACGATGCCTGGTGCCTCAGGAGGTGGTTTGTGTGCTGCTCCTGCTGTCAGAAACTGGAGCTGTGTCCTTTCCAGGGGCGAACATCAACGCTCAGACGGAGGAGACGCAGGAGACCGCGCTGACTCTGGCTTGCTGCGGAGGCTTTCTGGAGGTGGCAGATTTCCTCATTAAGGCAGGAGCTGACATAGAGCTTGGCTGCTCCACACCGTTGATGGAGGCTGCTCAAGAGGGCCATTTGGAGCTGGTTAAATACTTGTTGGCTGCAGGTATGGAGTGGTTTTATTAACAGCTTTGTAGAGATCTGAGAGAAAAACACCTGGTTCCATGTTCATTAGATTTTCATTAGCAGCTTTCTGAGGTTGACTGCAAAGGTCTGTGGAGCCCTAAGTAGCTTTTGAGGGTTAAATGGATGTGAACTTGCTCAGAACCGAATTTACAGCTGATTCTTTGGTTTAGAATATGATTAAGTTACCAGTTTCATAGATGTTGGATTGGAAGGGAGAAGTTGGGCTGGATAATCTTAGAGGTCTCTTTGAGCCCTAGTGGTTCTGTGATTCTAAGTTAAATTTGCTGCCTGGTTGTGTAAAGCTGAAGGGGAGACGTGGTGTTTCCTGCAGTGAACCCCTCAAGGCTCACAGGTTTGTTGCTGCCGTTCCAGGGGCGAACGTGCACGCGACGACGGCGACGGGCGACACCGCGCTGACCTACGCCTGCGAGAACGGCCACACGGACGTCGCAGATGTCTTACTGCAGGCTGGTGCAGATCTGGTAAGTCACTGCATGCTCCATAAAATCTCAGTAGGAAATAAAATGGTCAGCATCTAATGATTTCTTGTTTTGTTGTTTGTATGCTCACGGCTGAAAACTTGCGTGTGCTGCTGATCGCTCTAGCTGTATTCCAGTTCCCTCCTAACTAAGTGAGAATTGGTGATGGTTCTCTAATGTATTTCAGGCTGTGTAATTACCTGAAAGTGCTTAGGTCAGTTACAGTACTCTGTGGTGATTGATGCCTGCAGCATTTCCAAGCCATTCAAGGCTGCCTGGACAGGAAAATAGGGGATTTCATTCTTTTGTCATGGCATTCAGCCCCGAATCGTGGAGCTGGTCCTGGGTCAGTCCTTGTACCTGCAAATTTGTTGTATTCCTTACACAACACACTGCTAGTGATCTGTTTGGTGTACTGTAATGGAATTAAGGTAGTGGAGATAGATAGATTGATTTTTACATCTCAGTAGGTTAGTACAGCAGTGTGTTACCAAAAAGGGAAGTTAAGCCTGGCAGGACACATCTTGTTTAACTAAAATCCTCACCGTGTGCCTGAGTGCTCCTTGTCCAGCAGTCTCACACCTGTACAGAGACAGGTGCTTCCTCTGCCTGCAAGATACCCTCAGTTCAAGCATTAGCTGAGTTTTTAGGTCTAAGTCTGTGAAGCACTGGAAAGGTTTCATGTTTAGTACTTTCCCATTCAAAAAGCCACGAGGCTGGCTTGACTCCTTTCCCATGTGCTACTGTGGATTTTAAACCTTTCCTTATCTGCCCTAGGAACATGAATCAGAAGGTGGAAGAACCCCTCTCATGAAGGCTGCCAGGGCAGGTCATGTTTGCACTGTTCAGTTCTTGATTAGCAAAGGTAAGAGTGTGGAAAGGTTTGGGTTTTCCTGCTGTTAGAAATACTCCAAGTTAAGAACACATCAGAACTAGTTTAACTTCCTTGATTTGTTTCAAATAACTCTGTAGGTCATTGATTTTTCACCAGGCATGTAATGATCACCTCTGGTTTCTGCAGGGATTAGTGACTGCAGCTAGTTACATACACAGTGTATTCCAGTCTTTAATCCCTAGTGAAGCAGCAGCAGCAGTGGTTCCTGGGCTCTCCATGCTCCTGGTGCAGCCTTGGAGTGCTGTTTCCAGGAGTTTAACTGCCTGTGGGTTTCCTGGTTTGGACTATAACTTGCTTCATGGTTTGATGCAGAGCCTGGAGTTCCCATGTTCACTCCCTTGAGCTGATTCTGACGGATTTTTCTTGTCCCTTCTTCAGTGGAGCAGAACTGGCCTAAAGCTTCCAGCACAATGGAGTACTCCCTGTGTAGATTGCAGAGTAGTTAACTTTGGTCACTTTTGCTAGAGGAGAATCTGTTGAAGTCTCTTCTAACTGCTCTTCCCCCTGTGTTCTTGCAGGAGCCAATGTGAACAGGACCACAGCCAACAACGACCACACTGTGTTGTCTCTGGCTTGTGCTGGAGGTCACCTGGCAGTGGTGGAGTTACTCCTAGCCCATGGTGCTGATCCCACGCACAGACTGAAGGTTTGTCCCTCAACTGCCTCACTTTCCTCTGTGATACTCCATCATTAATCTTAAAACTCAGGATATCCAAGAGAATTTTCTCCTTTTACATTCTCTGCAACTGATCCAACCTGTCATGACTGAAGTAGAAGGAAGATGGAAAAGGTGATGTTTCCCAGGCAGGAGTTAGGCTCTTGCACATGTTTATAGAAGCTGGAGTTAGTGCAGGTCTGTTGATCACCATGACTGTCAAGGTTGCACTCTATTGTAAGGTGGTAATTGTGGAAGAGGAAGGAGAATTTTTCGACGTACTAGTTTTTGTTGGAAATACTTCATAGAGTCCTTAAGTTTAGATGTGGACCTGGTGCAGATGGAGTGAACGTTTACTACTGCAGAAAGCAGTTTGTAACAGATGCTGTGTTGTGTCTCCCAAAGCACTGCAGTGTTGTTCTGATGATGCTCTTTACTAACTCTGTGATCTTCTCCTCTTCAGGACGGGTCAACTATGCTTATCGAGGCAGCCAAAGGTGGTCACACCAGCGTGGTTTGTTACCTGCTAGATTACCCAAACAACTTGCTTTCTGCTCCTCCACCTGATGCCACTCAGCTGACCCCACCATCCCATGATTTAAATAGGGTAAGAGTTCAGGGCTGGTGATCTCTGGGGCTTTTTTGCACTTCTTTTTGAGGCTTATTCAAGAGTTCAAAGATGGGAGAAGAGTCAGTCATGTCATCTCATGAACTGTGGGTGAACACACTGCAAATGTCTTTGAGCTGTGATGAAAATGGGGAAGACTTTTGAGCATTATCTTGCAGTGCTTTCACCATTCTTATTCTCTGAATCTTACTGGAAAAACACAATGAGGTGGGAAAGAAACAGCAAGTATAAAGGTCTGCTTTGATGAAGCTTTTCAGAGTTTTAAGTTGTAGCCCATTGTGGCTTGTACCATACTGTAGAACTGTACCATGTTGAGTATTGTTTGGCAAGTAATTTTTTAGGTTAAAAATGCAAAGTACACAGAGGTCAGAAGATCTCCAGTGGTTAATTATTTAACTCAGCACATTAAAAACCATATTCAGTGTTCTTAGTCACCATTTCAGTCTGATTTTTCTAACGGGTTTTGTTTACCTTCTGTTGCATTATAAGTAAGATTAGAGTATGAGAAGAGTAATCTGTTAGTATCCAACCATTTAGGCTCCTCGTGTACCAGTGCAGGCGCTGCCCATGGTGGTCCCACCCCAGGAGCCTGACAAACCCCCTGCCAACGTCGCCACAACCCTTCCCATCAGAAACAAAGGTCAGTCCTGCTTCTGCAGCTCATTGCCTAAACAGCCTTCCTAGGTAGGACACAGAGGGTTGCACTCGTAGCAGAGTAGCTCCAATGAAGAGTGTTTATGGATTCGAGTCAAGGAAACTGCAATTTTGATTATTATTTTTGTTACTTTTTTAAGGATTTGCTTATCCACCAAGTATCAGTGATCTAATCCTGTAAATCACAAAGCGTCAAGAAATCTGCCTAAGTAAATCTGTTAAAGCCTCTGTTAGTCTGACATACTGGTCTAATGCAAAATGTCACCCAGAAGCCTGTAGAAATTGGATACTGGAAGTTGTAAAAACCTTGTTAATCTCCACATTGCAGTTGATTTGATAGCTTGTGTTTCCTGAGGAGAGTAGTCTGGGAGTGGGTTTGACTAATTGGATTGAAGGCGGAATTCCTTGTGCTATAAAATCTTTAGTCTGATGTGGCTCATGTCCTCCTTAGGACTAAATTTGCATCTATTTTGCTATTTTGACACTTTAACCCTTTCTCTACTTAAGAACTCTCTTCCAAAGCCCATTTTTTTTCCCAAGGATCAGCTGTAGCAAATACAGGCGTGCATGTCCTAAAACTTAATGCTGGGTGTACACTTGTATTGTTCTGGAGACACAGCAAGGATGGCTGGAAGACACTGGGCACCTCCACTGCCTCAGAGCCTGAGTTTTGATTTGCCTTTCGCCCTTCAAAATTAAGTGATTGTTGCTCCTCCTCCTGGTGTGGCAGACCATGTCAGCTGCGGGCCTGGGGACTTCTGCACTGAGGCTCAATTGGACTAGTCCATCGCTCGGTCTTGCAGGAAGGCTCAAATATTTGCCTTGCCTGGGCAGAGAGCTGAGTTTTGGCACAGGCAAAATCATGTCTGCTGTGGAGAAAACCTAGTGGCTAAGCACACCCTGTTAGATGTAAATGCCTGTCCTGGGTTCTGGCGCTGTTTGTCACCTGAGCCAAGCTGGATACCTGGAGCGAGAGGATTCCTAGTCCTAGAGAGTGTAGAGTACCGAGTCGGCCGCCAAAGCGGTGGCCCAGACCCAGGCACCGAGATGTTTTTGCATCCCTCTGGCTGTGCTTCCAGGGCCGTGAGCATACCTTTATGTCCTAACACCATGCCAGAGGCAAAGCACCGAGCACAGAGGCAGCATGTCCTTGCTTTTTGTTCCCAGTTATCCTGTAGCAGCACTCCCTCGGTAGCAGCGGCTCGAGACAATCGCTTCATTTGGCACAGGCATGAGCAGTGTTGGAGTAGATCTGTCTCTGTAGCACGGGGCTATCTGGGCTGTACGTGCAGTAATGTGTCCTGTTAAATTGCAGTCTGGCTGCTGGGTCCCAGTTGGTAGGTGTGTCCTTGGAGGGCCTTCCTGACCTGCTGTGGGTGCCCCCGCGGCCCAGCAGTAGCTCTGTAATGAGGATGCCGTTCGTATGCACTTCCATTGGTTCTGAGGGGGTTTCTTTTTCACACAGCTGCTTCTAAACAAAAGTCCAGCAGTCATTTGCCAGCAAACAACCAGGATGTACAGGGTTACATCACCAATCAGTCTCCAGAGAGCATTGTAGAAGAGGCTCAGGGCAAGTTGACAGAGCTGGAGCAGAGGATAAAAGAAGCCATAGAGAAGAACGCTCAGCTGCAGTCCCTGGAATTGGCACACGCTGACCAGCTCACCAAAGAGAAGATTGAGGAGCTGAACAAAACAAGAGAGGAACAAATCCAGAAGAAACAAAAGATTTTGGAGGAACTGCAGAAAGTGGAGCGGGAGCTACAGCTGAAAACTCAGCAGCAGCTGAAAAAGCAATACCTAGAGGTGAAGGCGCAGAGAATCCAGCTCCAGCAGCAGCAGCAGCAGCAGTCCTGCCAGCACCTGGGACTACTGACTCCCGTGGGGGTCGGAGAGCAGCTCTCAGAGGGAGACTATGCACGGTTGCAGCAAGTGGACCCCATCCTGCTCAAGGATGACCCTCAGCAGGCTGCCGCGCAGACGGGCTTTGCCCCCATTCAGCCCCTGGCCGTGCCGCAAGCGCTGCCTCTGGCGGCAGGGGCCTTACCTCCGGGGTCCATCGCTAACCTTACAGAACTGCAAGGTGTGATAGTTGGACAGCCAGTGCTGGGCCAAGCACAACTAGCAGGGCTGGGGCAAGGAATACTGACAGAAACACAGCAAGGGTTAATGGTAGCCAGCCCTGCTCAGACGCTCAATGACACGCTGGATGACATCATGGCAGGGGGGGTTATATCCTGATGAGCAGGGCAACTAGCAGGGCTGGGGCAAGGAATACTGACAGAAACACAGCAAGGGTTAATGGTAGCCAGCCCTGCTCAGACGCTCAATGACACGCTGGATGACATCATGGCAGGTGGGTTTATATCCTGATGAGCAGGTATAATATTTGCTTGACCAGTTGAGGGTATGTCCACTTCTTTTATGTGTGTGCGTGTGTGTGTTTGTGTATTCCCGCGAGCTCTACGGCAGCTAGCCCTCTGACCCCTGTCTTGAGCAGCTGGAACAACTAGCTTTAACTTTTCCGTTTGCAGAGTAGAGCTAACTGGGGCCTGTGGGTCAGGTTGGTATGGTGGAGGTGGCATTTTTGACTCTTTGTAGTCTGGGGGGGATATGCCAAGGTCAAACAGTTGTGTTTTGGCCTGATCGTAGCTCACGAGCAACGTGATGGTGGTACTCGTTAGTCCTTGCGCTAGCTGAGAGCTGACTTGGAGTAGGCTGTGAGCAGCACCACATGAAGCCTGTGATGTGTGAGGAACCCGTGAGCTTATCCTCTGACTGAGAGCTGCTCTAGTTGGACTTAAATAGTCTATGTATTGGAAGCTTTTACTTCTGTTGGGAAAGAAAAGGTGATAATCCTAAGACTTTTTGAAACGGCTGCTCAAAAATGGCTGCTTGGCCGGCAAGAAACACATTTAGCCTTACCAAGTTCTTATCATTGATTTGGAGAATTTTTTACCCGGTGACATCAGTGCTTTAAGGCCTTGAGTGGTAAAATGTAAGAGGTTTTAAATGTGAGTTTCGTGTTGCTGTACTTTACACCTGCCTCAGTTGCACTTATTCCCCTTTCCATGCTAAAGTAGCTGTTGAAATCCTCACTTTGACTCCTCAGCTGAACACAGGTAGGACATAGCCAGGAGCACCCTCAGTACAATTCCAGCAAGTGACATCATTTTTTAAAGGCTAAGATGATGCACTTGTATTTTGCAAGTGCTGTCTATCTGAACATGCGAAACATGTTGGGCTGAGGGGTGTGTGCCAGGTCTACCAGTAGGTTTTAGCCTAGAGCTGGTCCTGCAGGAGTTGTTGTGGTGCAGAGTGAATTGAAGGTATGGTAAATGGCTAAAACTGCCAGGTGGGGATGGTTTCAATCACTTTGAACAACACTTTGCAGATCAGGCACGTGAGTGACCTGGTGTCCAGGCAGAGCTTCATCCAAGACAGCAGAAACTTCAGGACCTGCAGAGATTCTCTCCTGGGAATCTGGTGTTAGAGTTGAAGCCTAGACATACACACTGGAAGTGGATGCTTAAAAAATAGACAAAGCTACATTAGTCATACACTGGTAGTGAAGATTTCTCTCCTGTGGAGCTGCTGGGACACATAACAATTCAAGTGTTGGGAAATTACAGTTCTTGGTTGCTTATAAAGAATCTGTGCAATGCACTTCAGTTGGGCTTAAATATAACCTAAAGTTGCAGTTAGGGCATTTGCCATATGTTTAACTGTAGGTAACGTGTTAAGAAGGTACAATTTCAGGTCACCTGCCACGTACCCAGATGGTCGTTGATGCCTTCTGGGGCAGCTCAGGCATTTCCAGTCTGAGCTGGAGTGAATGTTTGTGTCCTGCTCAGTCCCACTTGTTGGTGCATGCATGCACACGTGCAGTTGGCAGTGAGGTCTGAACTTCCTTGCTATCAAGGGGCTCATTTTAGGGTTTTTTAAGCAAGAGCAGACACAGAGCTGAGCACAGAATTTCAGTGCCAGCTTGAATCCACACATCAGAATTGGGCATGGAGCTGAAATGGGTGCAGTATAATGCAGCTAAATATTTGATAAGTAGCTCTGTTTGTTGCTCCAGTGGGTTTAAATTCTGTTCCTGAGGTGCCTTGAATGTAGTTCTGTGGCAGAGCTGTGGTGACAGCACCAGTTACAGAAACAAAGCCTCACCTTGGCTGTGCACACTGGGCTTAATATGCATCTCTGTGCTTAATTAGTTGCAGACAATGAGTAAGTAGTACATATTCTCTCATTTTTACCTTTGGACTTCTTTCTGACCCTGCTGGAATTGAGGACAAGCACAGGGTTTACTCCTGAGCTTCAGATGCTGGACAAGTTCATTGCTTGCTGTGAGGCTCCTGGAAAGAAGCATTTTTTTAGGGTTAGGTATATGTGTTGAATGGAAACATTGCATCTCTTAGGTGGTGTGTTAAAGATGTAATGGAGAAAAAAGCTCATGTTTTTAGTAGTAAACCTTATAAGTCGCAGCTATTCAAAGGGTTGTGTCGAGTCAGAGTTTCACATAGAGTCTTGAAGCCCTGGATGGGATGAATTCCTGGAAGCCACTTTGTGGGATGAGTCAGTTTTGAATGCAACTGTCTAAATACATGAGCAAAAATCTGAACTGACTACAAGTTCTTCTCAGAGACGCAATCCTGAAAAAAATGTCGAGTGCCAGCATCCCAGGAAAAGCAGGTTCTGTCCCACTTGGGATGAGCTGGAGCTGGTTTTGTGTGGGACTGAGCCTGCCACAGGCCACCTTGCACACTGCAGCTCACAACCATCCAGCCTGCATCCCTGGAGCCCTCAGTGCACAGAAGCAACACTCTGTGTTGGAATTCAGAACATAACTTGGCCTGTTGTAATGCGAGGCATGTTCTGCATCTCAAGTGCTCCGGAGTGGTTTGGAGCCTGTGTGGCAGGAGCACAGCTTGTGATAACTGAGGGGTCAGCAGAGAAAATGGGGGCAGAGCTGATGGGGCACAGGGATGGAGAGTTGGCTTGGAACCAGCTGGAAAAAGCTGAGGTCTCCAGTATATTTTTTGTAACGTGTTTTTTGATTCAGTTCCTTGTCTTGGCTTGGTGCAGTGTCATGTGGAAGTTCTTTGGTAGGTCTCTGTTGACATTGCAGGAGATAAGGAAGGAGTGTGTAAGAACAAGGCTGTGCTCACAGTCAGGCAGCTCTAGTGAGACACAGAACGGTCAGCATGAAGAGGAAATGGGGTTATAGAGGTGTTTGGTTTCTATAACACCTTGCACTGGGTGAAAATACAGAGTACTCAGGGAAGCAGCAAACCCAACCAGGCCCAACAGCCCCGTGGTCCTGTGGAAACATCAGGCTTGTTTCCAGGCAAACATCTGATTTAGGGCAGGGAGGTCAGTGAGGAAAAAGTCCTGTTGGCTCAGATGTTGAGTGTTAGTTTTCAGGGTTTAGTCTGTCAGTTGGCTGGTTCCTTCCCCTGATCTTGGGGCAGATTTGTAAGCCAGATGCTTCTCCCACTGGTGAGGCTGTGGGGCACGGTGGGGAGAGGGTGACATGGGGTGTCCTTCTGTCATTCCAGCTAAGAGAAAGGTGAGATGTGCCCAGGAAAGAATCAAGATAAAGAGCAACTCTCTGCTCCTAATAGCAGTAAGCACAAAACTGATTGTCTGGTGTCCCAACAAGTGTCCAAGCCGTAGGCTGGAGTAGTCGAATGGCGCTTGGAGCGATGTCTTCCAACCAAGAAGCTTGACCTAGTTACCTAACAAGAGGTAGCTGGTCCCATACCAAGGCAGATGTACACTGAAATATTCTCAAAGTGAACTAGCTTTGAAGACTTGGTTGTCCCAGTCATGAAGTGATGATGTTTTCATGGTGAAGTACAGACTTGGAGGTCAATTTTGCCACTAGTCATTAGAGTGAAGGAGCAAGAGGTGGAAGAAACATTGGCCTGTCAGTGTGTTCAGATCTGATGATCAGACTAGTGGGTTACTCTTCTTGGTGCTCAAGACTTGTGGAAATCTTTTGGCTTATTGGAAACTTGAACTATTTTAGTTTGAAGACTAAAGGTTGTGTTCATCACCCTTGGCATGGTCGTTTCAACTTGAACTCCACACAGGTGGCATTGAAATCACTCATCAAATCACTGCCCATAAAAACTAGTATATGAGCAGGGATAGGAGCTATATTTGTGAGTTATTGCTGGGGCACACTTGAAAAACATTTCAGATGAGAACTGTCAGTCGACATGCTTATTCTCCTCCACTAGCAGCCTTGAAATCATTCATTTTCTTACTATACCATGAAGGTTTTCCTCGTTGTGGGCAGAAGTGTGTTGGCTTTAAACAGGTCTCTCCTTTTTGTTTGGGGGTTTTTTCCTCCCCCTCACCACAGATGTAAAAAATAGGCTTTACCTAATTGAGACCTTCTTAATGTGATTTTTTTTTTCAGAAGTTTCATAACTTTCACAGTGTCTCCTGTAGTACAGTAGCTGCTCTCCAGTCCCTTTATTGGGACTAGTGCAGGAATTCTTAGCTGCTGCTTAAAACACATGTGCTGGTTTTGACCTTATGTCAGAATATTTTGGCATGGCTTCTGTGTGTCTCTCTTAGTCCATACCCAGTGTGATTTCTTGGAAGAGATAAGTTTGCAAAAGGCATTTTTAACATAAAGATCAAGGGAGCTGGAATCCTGCTCCCAAAAACAAGGTTAATGGTACTTTTTGTGTTCAAAACTGGGGACTCCTTGTTTCTCTCAGTGACATTATTAGCTTCATTGCTGGCATTCTGGGTAGGAAATGCACAGATTAAATTAGCACTGAATGGAAAACACAGGTGCCATGCAGAGGTGGGGGCACAGAGCCTCTTAGGGTACAGGTTTTGTGGCATCTCTTGGAACACTTCCATTCGTTTTGCAGTTAAAGGTGTTGTCAGCTGGACAGGACGAGTGTGTGGTGCTCCACTTGCTCCTTTGCTATCACACCTGGCAAACACCTGGAGAAGTGACAGGGAGAAAAACACCGAGCTCTCCTGAGGAAAAGTAGGAAGATGGGAGTTCTAGGTGGAAGTTTGCTCTGCACTGCTGAACATCCTGTGTGTGGGCCGGATTCCAGGGAGCAGTCGGTGCTATCTGTGTCATGTCCATGCACTGTCGTCACTGTACATGGTATTGCCTCTTGCTTACCCTAACCTTGGGCAAAGCCTCTGCAAACTGCCTGTTATGGAGCTTCCACTTCTCTGGTTGCAGCGAGTTCTGCCGTGTGAGCATCCTGCCCTGCTGCTTCCTCCTTGTGTTTCTTGGGGGGTGGGGTGAAGCTTGGACAGACTTTTGTATGAGAATATTTAAGCTGTTTTAAGAAGAATTGCATAGATACCTGTTGATTGGACTTGTACTGCAGCCCTGCTTCCAAAGGTATGGAATTCCTGCTCCAAGTAATGTCTGACTTGCTGTAGGAGAGATCTTTGGGTTAAAATAAATAATTCGATCAGTTGTCTCTTGTGGGCTTCTAGAAACCGTGTCAGTCTGATGCATACCTCTGTCTTTGATTGCATACACTAAACCTTTTTCACAGATCAAAGAGTTAAAGGTTCCAAGGTTGGGTTAAATGTGGAATATATGTATCTCTTTGTGGAAAATAGAAGTTTCTAGGGAGTTTTGTCTGTTGGTGGGAGTTGATCCCACTGTCCCTGCACTGTCACACTGAGCTTGGGAAGTGTTTTGCTTTGACTAAGTGTGGTTCTTCTGTCCAACAGCAGTGAGTGGAAGAGCATCTGCAATGTCAAACACTCCTACCCACAGCATTGCCACCTCAGTGTCCCAACCTCAGACGCCGACTCCAAGCCCCATCATCTCTCCTTCAGCCATGCTGCCCATCTACCCTGCCATAGATATCGATGCCCAGGTGAGCCTGCTGCTCTCTCACGTGCACACAGCTATTTTTTCCTGCATCCTCAATAATTCAGCAGTAGTAAACAGCTCTGTTGCATAATGAATTGGGGTCTGGGGACTGAGTTTGCTGCTTTTAGAAAGCCCAAACAGCTCCCCGGAGAGTCGCAACCCACTTTCCTCTGTGCGCTCAGCAAACACGAGAGGAGTCTCTGCATGACTAAACACTTGTAGTTCTCATTCCTTTGTTGTCACAGTGGTTGTGAGAAACAGAAAAGTTGTCTACTGGCAAATGCAACATTTTTCTGGCCCGATATCCTCAGACAAAAATGAAATGTTGCACATTGATTTTTCTGGTTGTGCTTGAAAAATCAGCAATTACAGATGTATGAAAGTTTTGAAACTAAGAATTTCTGTGATTTTAACGAGAGGAAATAGTTCAAGCTCTGACTTCCACTAGAGAAAAGGCTTTTCTGTATTGAAAATAGTTTTTAAAAGGCCATCTCTGTGTTGACTGGCAGCTAGCTGGCCATCAGCAAAAAGCTAACTAACGAACATGTATACAGAGCTCAAAGCTGTGCATAACATGGCTAAGGGTTGGGCAGTGTGGAGGAGAGGAAAGACATGAGATCATTGTGGAATAAGGGAGAGAAACCTCTGGAAAACCAGCCTTGGCTGCTTCAGCTGCTCGTGGCACTTGGCTTGCTTGGTGCTGCCACCAAGCCTTAGGCTGAACTAACGATAAAATTCATTACTTCATTGAAAGGTCCCAGGCAAGCAGTGGCAAAGAAGTTATTCTAGTTAGCAGAGCACAGGTGAGGTCATGATTCTTGGAGAATCTCAGTTCTTGTCAGGATTTTTTCAGTCTCCCAGCAGCACTGACTTGAGAGGTAGAATCCTGTCAGGAGCTTGCACACAGGAGGTATCTGTGGGGAGTCAATAAACATGAATCAAACGCAGAGAATTACAGGTGCAGCTGTGTTTGGGCTAATGTGTGATACAACAGGTACCTGCAAACCCAACAATTCACCTTGTGTGTGTAATGTGTGTTTGTTCCAGACTGAGAGTAACCACGACACAGCATTGACCTTGGCATGTGCTGGTGGCCACGAGGAGCTGGTACAAACCCTGCTGGAGAGAGGAGCCAACATTGAGCACAGGGACAAGAAAGGTTGGTATCTCACCGTGGCAATGCAGAGCCTCCCTGCTCTTCCAGTCTGTCACACTGAACAAACCCCAGTAAGCCTAGTCTGTGTGTGCTTGGCTTTTCTGGTGGTTGAACTCACGTCACTTCAGCTGTGAACTCTTCAAACATCCTTTTCCATTGCAGGGTTTACTCCTCTTATTTTGGCTGCTACAGCTGGGCACGTGGGTGTGGTGGAGATCTTGCTGGATAATGGAGCTGATATTGAGGCGCAGTCTGAGAGAACCAAGGACACTCCCTTGTCTTTGGCTTGTTCGGGAGGGAGACAAGAGGTGAAGTAAAACCTGAGTCTTTAAAAGCAGTGTGTGAATTATGTATCGTGCCAGTGCACTCAAGTGATCTTCCAGAGGAGTTAGTCACTTCATTCCCATCCCATTTCAGGATGGTGTGTTTAAATAGGGTGCAAAGAGCTGCCCATTTTCAGAGTTACACAAATGGGTTCCATATATGAGCCACGTCGTGGGTTTGGGGAAAGCAAATGGGCAAACATTGGGCTTTGGGCAGTAGAGATGATGTTGGGATGTGATGTTCTCACTGTGGGTGTGAATAGAGAACATGAGATAAAGTAATGTAACTGCTTTCTTGTCTGAGGAGGAGGTTTTGACTTGAGAGTGAGCTGAGCATTCAAAAGGGAGGGGACTAAAAGCAGGAGTACTCTATACACTGTGTTTGACTTGAGAGTGAGCTGAGCATTCAGAAGGGAGGGGATTAAAAGCAGGAGTACTCTGTACACTGTATTCAAACTGACTCTCTTTAGAGATGGATGAAATAATCATACAAAGATCTGGTTTTCCTTACTATGCTATACAGTTTGGTATGAATGGTTTGGGCATGCTAATGAGCAGTCATGCCTGATTTTTTAAGGAAGCTTTACTGTAGCTTAGGGAACACAGTTGCAGCCTCATCTGTTCATGGAGGAGAGGAGTATGGGTTTGGGCATGCTAATGAGCAGTCATGTCTGATTCTTTAAGGAAACTTTACAGTAGCTTTGGGAACACAGTTGCAGCCTCATGTGTTCATGGAGGAGAGGAGTATAGGGAAGCAACTGACTAAAATGGAAGATGTTAATGGCATATTTAGGCTTGAAAAACATTTGTCCTGTATAGATTTGCAAGTTCTGGAGCAAACCAGATGTTATTTCTCAAACCACTGCAGGTGGTGGAGTTGCTGCTAGCTCGAGGGGCAAACAAGGAGCACAGGAATGTGTCTGATTACACACCCCTGAGCCTCGCTGCCTCGGGGGGCTACGTGAACATCATCAAGATTCTGCTCAATGCTGGGGCAGAAATCAATTCCAGGCAAGTCCTCTCCTCACCCTCCTTCTGTGGCTTTAGTTCTGGGTCTTGTGAATGAAGTGTGTGTGTTACCCCTTGTGTTCCCTGCCCAGTTCCCTCTGTGTGTCTGCATGTGTGTGATGCTGTTGCAGCCGTTGGGGGTAGAGCACAGCTCAGGTGTGCAGTGCACAGATCAAACAAAAGGGCTGAGAAAAACTTACGCTCCTCATAAGAGATGCCTTTGCATCTAAAGCAGTTAAAAGGCAGTGTTCATGGTGTGTCTGGGTAAAAGAACTTGTCCTAAGCAACGTTGATATGAAGAGCCTCTTGTAGGTCAGTCATAGTTGGTGTGTAGCAGGTTTTTCAGCCTTGGCTAAGTGCTGTGCCCTCACTGGTTATCCTGATCCCATTTCTAAACCTGCTTGTAAAGCAGCTTTTGGTTTTCCTTTCTTCCCTTTCAGAACTGGCAGCAAACTGGGTATTTCCCCCCTGATGCTGGCAGCCATGAACGGGCACACTGCTGCTGTCAAGCTGCTGCTGGACATGGGCTCTGACATCAACGCCCAGATCGAGACCAACAGGAACACAGCCCTGACCCTGGCCTGTTTCCAGGGCAGGACCGAGGTGGTCAGCCTGCTGCTCGACAGAAAGGCTAACGTGGAGCACAGAGCTAAGGTACGGGGCAAACTCCTGAAACCTCCAGGCAGATGTGCTGTCATCACTTCCCCACTGTTACCTCACCTCACCTTTCGTGCAGGTGAACTTGTCTAGTTCAGGTCTCTAGTCCATATATTGGAGAGAAAAAGGGTTTTGGTGGTTGCACAGTTAATCCAAAGACGTGTTTCTTCTGAAGCCTTAATTCACCTTCAGGCAGTGACAAGAGGAGTAATCCATGAACTTAATAAAAATAGAAGGTTTTATTGTATTCAGAACTAGCCAGAATCTTGGCCTGGGTATGCTCAGGGTCTGATCTCTTCTGTCTGGAGCTGTTTATATCCAGTGCCGATGCAGAATTAAAAGGGGTCGTGTGTGCTTGAGTCTCTTGAAATGGGAGGAAAGGCTGTTCACTGGAAAAGTGGCTAAGAATGCTGAGGGGGGTTAAAAAAGAGACATCCTGCACATGTGGCATTCTGTTCCCCTGGTCCACATGCTTAATGGTTGCCACAGAGGAGCCTCAAAGGATCTGTGTGGTACTGATTGATGTGAGGTGTTGTTGCTAAAGTTCATGTCCCCTGGGTCCAGCTAAAGTGCTGCAAGGTTGGTGTGAAACTGGCCAGGTAACTGGAATCCATACACCAGAACTGGAAAGATGTTGCTGGAAGTCCAATTAAATCTTGGCTCTCAGGTAAATATCCCTCACCCCTGACTAACTGCTTCTTTCCCTGCTTGCTCTCCCAGACTGGTCTGACACCATTAATGGAAGCAGCGTCCGGGGGCTATGCAGAAGTGGGCAGAGTCCTGCTGGACAAAGGTGCAGATGTCAATGCTCCCCCAGTACCTTCATCCAGAGACACAGCTTTAACCATTGCAGCAGACAAAGGGCACTACAAGTTCTGTGAGCTCCTCATTAGCAGGTACTGTGTCTGCAAGCGAACAGCTTCAAGAGAAATAAGGTTTTTTTTTCTACACGACAGGGTAGGAAATGGGAAAAGTTCTGTGTTTAAGCATTACTGCAAATTCTTACTTACCACAAGCACTGCAGCGAGGTGGAGTTTGGTGTGGGAGTGCTTCCTTTGCCCAGGCTGTGATGGGCTGTGCCTCTCGTTGCAGGGGAGCTCACATCGACGTGCGGAACAAGAAGGGCAACACTCCACTGTGGCTGGCAGCCAACGGAGGCCACCTCGATGTTGTCCAGCTGCTGGTTCAGGCTGGAGCTGATGTGGATGCAGCTGATAACAGGAAAATAACCCCTCTCATGGCAGCCTTCCGAAAGGTAGAGCTTGAAGTTCAGCCTGGCTCTTAGCTGGGGCTGTCTCAGTCATCCCTGCACAGTTAGCAGTAGAATGAAGCTGACTGAAACTGCAGGTTTAGAAACACATCAGTTCATTTTAATAGTTGGCATTGACTCTTCAGAAATAGGTATGTGTGTCACCTGTGCAGTATCTGTGTGAAGGTAGAATAGCAGTTTGCTTTATAGGCAGTTTACCGAGGCTGGTTCTGGTGTGTGAGGGCTGAAAGTTGCAGTGTGTGTGTGTCTGATAGAGCAGGGGGGAAATAGAGCTGGCTCCTCATGCAAGAGAGCATGAAGAATTTGCTCAAAAAAAGTGCAGTTTAGCCTGATTTGAGTCTGGAGATGATTGTTGTTAGCAAGGGAATGGAGTTGAGGTGCTGCAGTGCTGGAGGAATCACAGGTGGCTGCAGGAGCCTGCGGCAGTGAGAGCTGGGTGTCTGCAGACTGCCCAGAGACAGGCAGAGCTTTGTGAAGGTGCAGCTGGAGTAAGGGCAGCCTGACCAGGTCCTGCCATTACTTGCCTTCTCCTGTGTCAGAAACAGGCAGAAATGTGCCCCACTAGTCCAGAGGGTGAGAGATATCTAAAAGAAAGACCTAAAATCACTTCCTTAGAAAGAGAGATCTCAAATCCCCTCTCTGAGATGCTCTCACGTGAGAGCAGCGTTGTGCTGAGGAGCTGAACACGAGTGTTTTGTGGGCAGTGTGGGACTGAGGAGTTTGCTGGCAGCCCAGAAGCAGCAGGGCTGATAGTGTGTGCTGTCCCTGGGGTGTCTTGCAGGGCCACGTGAAGGTCGTGCGTTACCTGGTGAAGGAGGTGAACCAGTTCCCATCCGACTCGGAGTGCATGAGATACATAGCGACCATCACTGATAAGGTGAGATGGGAAGGCAGGGAGTGTCTGGGAGGGAGCAGTGTTGTGTCTCTGCTTTGCAGATGTTGTGTATTCTTCTGAGCTTGCTGCCCAGCAGCCTTCAGCTCAAGGATGAGCCCATTGGAATTTTTCAGATAAAACAGAAAAAGACTGGCAATGTGCAGCTGTGGGGACTCCTCAGTGCTGTTAGGACAGGAGTGATGGAGGTGGTGTTATTTATTGTCCATGCCTGTTTTCCAGTGTTCTGCCAGCCCTTACCTCACTGCTCTGTGTTTCCTCCCTGCTGAGCACATTTGGCCTGAATTTGTGAGGCCTTTCACAGTGGGGTGGGGGCAACAGAAGGAACTTCTGCCAAGAGTGTGCATTTATAGCACACTGGGACAGGGTTCAGTGATTCTGTGTGATCTGTGATTTCACATCACATCCATGGCTGGAATACCAGTCTGCAGGGCTGGGCATGAAGAGGAGCTTACTGGAGGGAATTTCCAGTTCTCCATTAAACTCCAAGTAGTGCAGCAGTTCCTAAGTGACAGGAGTTAATCTTGAGGTCATACATCCAAACCCTTTGGAAAACTGAGGGGGGATGTCCTTTCCCATTTCAGGAGATGCTGAAGAAGTGCCACCTGTGCATGGAGTCGATTGTTCAAGCCAAAGACAGACAGGCTGCAGAAGCCAACAAAAACGCAAGCATTCTGCTGGAGGAGCTGGACCTGGAGAAGGCAAGTGGGAAGAGCTTAGAGCTGGGGATATTGTCGTGATAAAATCCCAATTTCCCCTTCCTTCAAGCTGATAGGGTCGGGGAAGGGAGGTACTGAGGTGTGGGAATGTGTGTAGTTACCATAATTGGAGTGTCTAGAGCTGAGCATCTCATTCAGCTAATCTTTGAGCTTTGCTGTTACTCAGAGAAATTGGATCAAATGAGTATTTTCTCTGGGATAATGTTGTACAAAAGGATTCCTGAATATGTGGTTTTGTCAAGTGCAAGGCAGATGGGCATTTTGTCGTCATACTAGTATGGATTTTAGGTCTAAACACTGTTTTGTGTCTTAAAAAAGTACTAATTCAGTGGGATCCATAGTGGTGTAATCTTTGCTGTTACTCAGAGAAATTGGATCAAATGAGTATTTTCTCTGGGATAATGTTGTACAAAAGGATTCCTGAATATGTGGTTTTGTCAAGTGCAAGGCAGATGGGCATTTTGTCGTCATACTAGTATGGATTTTAGGTCTAAACACTGTTTTGTGTCTTAAAAAAGTACTAATTCAGTGGGATCCATAGTGGTGTAATAGAAATAGATTTTGTGTCTTAAAAAAGTACTAATTCATTGGGATCCATAGTGGTGTAAGAGAAATAGAACAGAGGATCCCAAGCCCGAGGAAACGAAGCGTTTGGGTTTCCTGAAACGCGTGGGACATCTGGTAATGCTGATCCATGTGCTTGGCTTGTAGCTAAGGGAAGAAAGCAGGAGATTGGCTTTGGCTGCCAAAAGAGAGAAGAGAAAGGAGAAAAGGAGGAAGAAAAAAGAAGAACAAAGGCGAAAACTAGAAGAAATAGAAGCAAAAAATAAAGAGAATTTTGAACTTCAAGCTGCTCAGGAGAAAGAGAAGTTAAAAGCTGAAGGTGATTTGTTAAATTGCTACTGCATTTATTCCAGGAGAAGAGTGGAATTCTGTGTGAGTTGGTGTAAACAGGGGAGAGGCTCCACATTAGGACATCCATAACAGATTTATTGATATCTGCATGGTTAGTGGTGTTGTATGTGTTTTGGAGCCTTGTAAAGCTGCTCCTGAGTCATTCGGTAGGACAGGTGCGACTTGGAAACCCAAACCACAGAAACTTCCTTAAACCAGCTAAATTACTCCTGGTTTTTTTTCCACTCTTCCATCAGATGATCCCGAGGTCCCGATGGAGCCTCCCAGTGCTACCACCACCACCACCATAGGTATATCTGCCACCTGGACAACATTAGCAGGTTCCCATGGGAAGAGGAATAACACCATCAGCACCACAAGCTCCAAGAGGAAAAACAGGAAGAACAAAGTAACCCCTGACAACGTGCAGATTATATTTGACGATCAGCTCCCCATTTCCTACAGCCAACCCGAGAAGGTGAACGGGGAATCCAAGAGCAGCAGCACCAGTGAGAGTGGTGACAGTGACAACATGAGGATCTCCAGCTGTAGTGACGAAAGCAGCAATAGCAACAGCAGCCACAAAAGTGACAATCATTCTTCTACAGCCGTTACTAACACGCAGAGCAACAAAAAGCAACCCTCGGTGCTTGTCACTTGTCCCAAGGATGAGAGGAAAGCAGTTCCTGGCAAGTCATCCATAAAGTAAGTTCCTGGGACCATGAATGCGAAATGCAACTCATCCTTTGGGGTTCCTTCCTCCCCATAATCACAGCATTTAATTTCTTCTGCAGGTTGTCTGAAGTCATGAATGAAGTGACGAGTAATTCCTTGTCTACTTGCACGAAGTCTGCTCCTTCTCCCCTTTCTTCTCCAAACGGAAAGCTAACCATTGCTAGTCCTAAACGTGGTCAGAAAAGGGAAGAAGGATGGAAGGAAGTTGTGAGGAGGTAAGGAGAACACGGCCCTCATTGCCCTTGTTGCTGTCCATTGTGTAGCTCTCCCTGGATTTGACCTTAGTGGTCCTGATAGACATCACAAAATTGCTGCTGCATAGGTTGAATCAGGAGGTAGAAGATCATTTTGACCAACCTGCTCACAGCTTCGTGCCATGAATCAGGAGGTAGAAGATCATTTTGATCTGCTCACAGCTTTGTGCTCACAGCTTTGTGCCGTGGAAGTGTTTCCTACTTAACATTGTTTCTCTTTTATATAGGTCCAAGAAAGTTTCTGTTCCATCGACTGTAATTTCCAGAGTCATTGGCAGAGGAGGCTGTAACATCAACGCGATCCGGGAGTGCACAGGGGCACACATAGACATTGACAAACAGAAGGACAAAACTGGAGACAGAATAATCACTATAAGGTGAGCAGGGTCTTTGATTGGCTCCTTCCTCTGGGGATCTTCTCATTGTACAACATGTGTCTGTCAAGAAAAATGAAAGGGCTTGGTCTGATTGTTCCTCGCAGGATCTCTTTGAGGCAGGGGAGATGAATGGGGTTAGGAAACGAGGGTACAGCCACCAGTTGGTACCACTGTGTTGGTACAAAACACAGTTTGTGAGATAAGGCAAAGCATAAGCATGAAAATTCTGTGTTCGGGCTCGTTTATTTAGGGAAGTAAATATTTTAACCATTTGGGGTTTTGGGGAATTAAGAGTTTTCAACTTGAGCTTCTTGAGTAATTGTCAGCCAAGGTCAGTTTTTAGCTGGAGAGTTCCGCTCTGTGTCGGATGACAGAACCCAGGCTGGACCACATGCTGGAGGCTTGTGGCTGTGATGTGTGTGAATGCTAAGCTGCACTTTCCCCTCCCTCCCTTTGCCCAGGGGTGGCACCGAGTCGACGCGCCAGGCCACACAGTTGATCAACGCTCTGATCAAGGATCCGGATAAGGAAATCGACGAACTCATTCCAAAGAACCGCTTGAAAAGTGCAACCGCAAACTCCAAAATAGGCTCCTCTGCACCTGCCACCACTACAGCTGCTAACAGCTCTCTCGTGGGCATCAAAGTGACCACCGTAGCTGCTTCGTCCGAGCCTCAGACTGCCTCTGCGCTCACAGTGCCTTCCCTCT